CTCGTGGCCGGCACCGCTTGCGCCACCAGCGTGCGACACTGCCAGCGACTCAGTCCGCAGCTGCGTCCGACGGAGAACGCGTGCACGGCATACGCCCGCTCGCGCCGTTGGTGGCCCGCGCCCGTGCCGCTACATACCCAAACCTCGAAGCCCGAGAGCTTCAGGTCCACGCGCCTCGGCGGCTTGTCGGCCGGGCTGGGCGTGGACGTGGGCGGCGTCTCAGGTCGTGGCGTGGCACTAAACTTCCCGCGGTAAAGCGCCGCGTGGAAGACCTCCAAGGGCGAGGCATCCGCATCCGTCGCCCGGTGGGCAGTCGCCGGCGCCGCGTCGAGGAAGACGGGGAACACCGGCCAGACGGCAAGCGCGGCAGCCGGCTGCGAGATGACGCTCGTGACCGAACCGAGCTTGAGCGTGGACATAAGGTTGTGCTGGTCGAGCAGGTGTGTGTCGAGGGTAATGAACGATTGCACACGGCCCGGCTCGGCACCAAGCGAACTGGGACTGCCCAGCGAGCCCGGGCTGCCCGGGCTTGCGGGCGTGGGCGGAGCGGGCGCGTTTTTCTTGAGGAAGGGGAGGATGGCGAGAAGACGGGCGCGCTGCTCGGGGAAGAAACCCATGAGCGGCTCGAGAGGATCAAGCGAGGCGAGTTCGAGCTCGAGGCGGAAGTCTGAGCAGTCGAGGCTCAGGCTGTCGGCGGAGACTTGGGCGGCGAGCACAGGTCGCTGAGCGGGTCCGGCGCCGAACTTGGAGTTCAGGACGGGCAGTCCGTTGTGGTCGGTAACGAAGATGGACTGGACAGTCACAGAGGCCGAGGAGTCCTCGGGTGTGGAGCGCGAAACGAGCATCTGCACATCGTCCACGGCCGCGCGGTAGATAACGCGCCACCGTGGCGGGGTCGCTCGCGGCGAGGATTCAGCAAGTACGGCCGAGGCCGAGGACTCGGCGCCGCCCTCAAGCTCAACCGAACCCGCGCTGGACCCCACACCGCCCGCAAAGGGCCAAACGTCCGAACCGATCGGTGCGAGACAGGTAGGCCTCGCGGGCAACGTACTTGTGGCGGTCACCCGCGACGATGGCGACGCGCTCTCACCCGCCATCCACTGCCACAGCCCCAGTTCGAGCTCGATCGACGGAATCTCGAAGGTGAAACGCTGCGTCGCACTCGGGATGCAGACCGACCATTTCGGGAACTCGACGGGCGCAGCGAAGAGCGCCTCACAACCTGCGCGTGCCCGACGCAACCCGGCGGCCAGCAGCGCGTTTCCGCCACGGCGCGGGGCGGGTCGCCGCGCGCGTGTTTGCAACA